AGAAGCTGTTGTTGGGCACAGCAGCAATCTCTCCTGCACACCGCGTGCCATGGTGGTTGCCATTTTCCACATCCGGGTGGGGCATGGGGTCAGGGTCATTAGAGTTGAGGTCATAGCTACCCTCTGGGCTCTGAAATATTAAGGGGTGACATGTGGTCACTCACTGGTTAGAGGGGTCAGGAAGAGAAAGGAAGTAGGAGTTTGGGATTCCAAGCCAGGCCAGCAGGCCCATCTTCTTCATACCACATAGGATACAAGATATGAGCAAAAGACAGTGGGACAGAACTGAGAAGTGCCATGTCTCTCAGCACCCTTCTCTCTGGCCTAGTATAAGAACATATAATTATAAGAATTATAATCTTCTCTTTTGGATAAAAGAGATTTAGGGCTCTCTGAAGGTCATGCTTTAGAGAAGGGAAGGTATTCAGGATGGTGGAGAGGGAAGAAGTTGCCTAACTGGGCCACTCCTTCACACCAGAGAGGGAGCAGCAATAGGAAGCAGGAAGTACCTTTGAGGATTGCTCTCCCTTGGGATTGGAGCCACCTGTTGTGTCTTAACTGCCAACCTAGAAGGCTGGCAGGGAAAGGAGAGAAGGAAGACTATCACCCCACCTTCCAGGCTGTTTGGTTTGGCTCAGTGCCCTTTAGGAAAGGGAATAAGACTGAGGCAACATGAAGAAGGTGGTATGACATGGGGTAGGAGTGATCAACCCAGGCCACTCACATAATTGGGTGCAATGTCCTGGATGGTATGCTCCACTCCATCGTCCACTACCACCACTGTCACCCCTTGTCCAGTTACATTGCGCTCCCACACACCTGTCACGTTGATATCCCTGCCAGGGCTCCGGCGGTTATTCTGCAGGAGAGATGGGGTGGGAATCTAGTGACACACAGCACAGTCTAGAGATAGACAAGTTACAGTTAGTACACCTTTTCACCTTTGAACTCCACCAAAGAGCCAGACAGAGGTTACAAATCAAAAGAGTACTAGGGAACAGAACCAAGAGAGGCACATAAGAACTCTGCCATGACGCTGGTCTCCAGGGAAGGTTGGCATCACCCATGGGTGATTCAGGGTGAAATGGTGGCTAGGGTTACAGGTTGGATAATATAATTATTATGCAATAATGTCAGTAGTTAATCACATATGAAATAATTTCTCCTATGTGCCAAGCATTGTTCTAAGTGTTTCATATATATGAATTCACTTATTCTAGCCTTAACTCTAGGAGGTAGGTACCATTTTGCAGGTGGGGAAAGTGAGGCATAGAGAAGTGAAGCAGTTTGCCTGAAGACAGATCTAGTTCGTGGCAGAGCTGCAATGTAAGCCTGGGCAGCATTCAAGCCCTAAGCACTATAGTGCACGGGGTCCAGGGAAAGTAGAGGCTGAGGGTGCCATACCACTTAGCCCCCAGAAACGGCCCCTCAGACCAAGGATGGGACAAGTGAAGAGGGATTTGGTGAAAAGCCCACAAAAGAACTAGACTAGAACCTCTCCATCTGAAAAGGACACTGCAGGGCTGGACTCACCAGGTGCCACTGCTGTGGGTACTTTGGATCATTGAAGTGGACACTGCGCTTGGTCCGCTTCAGCAGCCTCTGCTCTGAGTGCCAGCGCACAGCTTTATGCTTGGCCAACACAGCCTCTGCCTGTTGCCGGATGACTTCCACCTCCATGGCCTGCTTGTGCCCAACTGGCTGGACAAAGAGGTAGTGGCCCTGGAGCTCTCCGATGCGTCCAGCGTTCACCAATCCTGCTGCCCGGGCCACAGCATGTGCCCGCTGCTCCAGATTTTCTTCCTCTTTCTCACCTTCCAGACTGTCTAGATGCACAGCCCAGCTCAGCCCCCCTGTGCCCTGGGCATCTAGCCCACCTGTCCCTGCCAGGCCCATGACCCAGGGAACCAATAAAAAGAGCCCAGCTAATTCCAGCCAGAGGCAGGTGGGTAGGCCCAGGGGGGCATCCAAGTGTGGCACTTTCTGTCTTCCCTTCGGCATCAGAGCAGCAGGCTGTGGACAAAGAAAATAGAATAAAAGAAATAAAAGAGGTGATAACCACAGGGGTCTGAGAGGGTAACTTTGAGTCCTCTGTGTGTTGCCCCTGGAAACCAATCTGCTATTCCCATTATGAAACATTTGATCTTCTTTTTTTGATCATATTTACCCTGAACCAATGGAGCTAAGCCCCAGGTGGAGTGCAGGCCAAGACTAACCCCAGTGGATGACCTCCCATGGCATGATGGGCCAAACTCTGCTACACCAGATAAACAAGCAGGGTCTTGTTGCTCATAGGCACCATCCTGCTCTTCCCAGTATTGCCACTCTCAGGGATCAAAGTACATGTTACGCCCACAAACACTGGTAGCAACATGACAGTTTTTTAGGAGGACCCTTCCCCTCTTTATTTAGAAGGGACATAAGTCATATCCCAGAGGACTTCAGTTCAGTTGTCCTCAGGGCTAACTCCCATGCAATGGGACCCCATTCCTACCTGGACTCTCTGTGAGGTTGAGCTTCTGATTTGGCTAACCACGTCATCCTCATTTTATGCAAATGAAGAAAAAGTGCCACCTTTGCTGTGAGAACTGTTGACTCTGAGCACAGGTTGAAGACCTGTGGGTCCTAAAAACAGAAAACAGTGTCCCACCAAATCCAGTGGAACAAGCAGAGGCTAGCCAAGGACCAGACACCAAAGATGCTGGACAATGATAAGTATCATTGCCAGGAATCTAAGACCAGTCCTAGACTGGAACAGCTCTGGCACAGTTAAGGCCAAATCAGTACAAAACCCAGAAACACTACTCTTGTCCTATCAAGCTATCCTTTTTCATTTGTTTCTGTAGACACCCTAGCAGAGGCTTAACTGTTAGCCTAGGGAGGTGGCAAGGTGAAACAGGAAGAAAGTCAGAAAATGAAAACAAAACCAGTATAAAGGGCAAGTGGGCAACTGGGAGATAAGCAATCACTGGAAAGCAGCACCGAAGAGACACCCCTGTAACCAGCTCAACTGGCTGGCTTGGAAGCCAAGGCTCGGGCTCTGAACCTATCCTCTAATTGCTTAGGATCCAAAGAACCAGGGAAAAGGTCTTAAAAAGCTCTTAAAGAGATAGAAGGGTCAAATTAGAACTGGTGGGCAACCAATGGGGACAAGCAAATGTGGGTGGTTAGGCTTCTTTAAAAGCCTCTGCTGTCTACTGAGTCCACCATGGGGCCAGCTTTGAACTCCGACACACACCCAAAAGAAGTCAACTAAAAGCATACTAGAAAAAAACAAAAAACAAAACATGTGTTTTTACTGAAGACTCCTTGGAAAGGGAGAGAACTTAGGCCACTTAACATTTCCCTCCAGGATTCTCCATTCCACATCTCTCTCTTTTCCTCTTAGGTTCCAGGGCTTATTCTCTCTCAAATTCTTCCCTGCCCTCTAGTAGCTTCCACTGTCTCAAGATATTCAGGTGTCTTTCCCAGTCCGCATACTCTACTAAGTGGAAATGAAATTTTGGTAGCCAGGGAATGAGCCATCTAGGCAGGCTCTTCAGTCTCAGTACATCCCACCCGGATTGCGGGGGGGGGGGGGGGGGGGGGGGGACTCGAGCCCTAACTGTCTCCCGGGAGCAGATCAGCACTTTTGTCCCCTGGACTTCTGGGGAAGTAATCTTAAACACCTTTTGAAAGCAGATCTCCACCTCGCCCATCTGCTGGGCCTATCTTTACCTTCTTCTCAAGGAAGAAGGGCAACTCGAAGTCCAAGATTCTGCTCTTAAGCGACTCCTGGCCGCCTCTACACCCTGCTCGAACTAAGTCATGTACAGGGACTTGTTTCACCGATTCCCCCTCCCTTGTCCTCAACTGCTTCGAATAAGGTGCCCCTCTCTTCATTAGGACCAGGGCCCCGAACCTCTGGGAGGCCTCGCACCAGGACTAAAAGCGCCTCTGTGCAGCGCCCTCTTCCTTAGGCGCCGGCTCCCCCAGTTCTGGACCACCCGGACTTCCAATGTCCAGCCCCCCTCTACTTCCCAACTCACCAGCCCGGCCGCGGCTGCCGCCGCCGCCTCCCTGCGGAAACTCGCGGCTTCCCGGGAGCCCAGGAGCCAGTGACAGCAGCATCACTTCCGCCCGGACGCCGCAGCCAATCAGCGGAGGGTCCTCCAGCACCCCCAACCCGCCGGGCCCAGCAACCGGCGCTCCGGGACGGAGCCTGCAGGCGGCCTCCGCGGAGCGGCGTGCAGGGCTTCGGCTTAGCGCGCGGGGCTCCAACGCCCGAGTCCTCTGGGCATCTTCAACAGGATCCCTCCCCAGAGTGTACTTCTTCATGGCGTCCTTGGAAAAGGGCCTTTCGGTTCCGACCTTAAAACACAACCTCGTTGCTCTTCTTCCTCTGACCGTTATGGCCCTGACTCTCCCTGTAGCAGTCCCAGAAGGGCTCTTGTCTCCACTAGGCCTCCTTCTTTCCCGCGGTCAGAAATCTCTCTTCCTGGCGCCGAGGCAGGGTCCACTTACATCTCAAGGGTCTTCGCCAGCATCCCTGCGCTCCGGGTGGTTCTAACTGTAGCCGCCAGAGGGCGCCGTCGGGGGAGGCGCGGAGCCTACGCGGCCTTTCCTCTCGCTGCCCGAGCCTCGCCCCCTCCGCTCGTGCCGCCGGAAGTGGGAGGTGTCGCGCGCGGGCCGGCGCTCGACCCCTCCCCCGT